AGCAAGAAGCATCTGCCGAAAAAAACAAACAGTGCCATTAGGAATAAAAACCTGCGTAGAACTGCCAAAAAAATGCATCTTAGCACCGACAGTCAGTGTGCTGGCCGATTATTTGAGTTTGATCGAATTTTTTTTTATTATTTTAGTACCATCGCTGTTTTTATCATTTTTCAACAAGCAGTTTTGTACAGTTTTTCAGTTCATTTGATTTAAGCTTAACTTAATTAAATATATTGTAATTTCATTACATAGGATGGGGGATACAATGCTGCCGCGAAAAAGAGTAATTCTCGAGCAACAGCAACGGCGGTTCTTGATGACCAGGGAGGCAGTATTGGGGATATCGATGATGATGACGATGATAACGATGATGTAAAGCCGAACGGGCTCGAAAGAACAAAAAATGCGCGGAACGAAATTCCGAAAAAGTAACAGTTTCTCACCAATACAACCGTATGAATCAGTTTTTATTTCTCAAGGTCATCAGGAGAAGAGTTTTTTTTCTTTTGTACTGAAAATGTTGAAAATGTTTAGAGAACGAAGCGCATCGCCACCACCTATTCCACGACAAGCACGCTCACTACGTCTAAGCCGCTCGTCGATAGTAATTCCGGAAAAAAATGACCCCTCCAAAGTCCGTGTATATCGATGTAGTGCGTTTGCAAGAGGACGAAAAAGCACCTGCTATTATCGCTGCTCAAAATGCGACTCAATTGCAGCCAGCAAACTTAAAAATGAAGGCGAGTTTGTTTCTTTTTTCCATTTTTTTTTCTTGCATTTTTATTGCAAATAGGAAAGCAGCGTCACATTGAAATCGTAGTGCGCTTTTATTTACGCAAAAGTAAGTAGGCATTTTCATTTTCATGTGCTCGGATACGATAACTTGACTTGATGGACCGAAACATTTCTTACCATTATAATAAATCTCACAAATTTTCTAATTTCCATTTCTCGCCTTCCTTTTTTTTCTTTTTTTTCCAGTTTTTTTTCCTATTCTTTCCCATTGTAGCTTTCTATAGCTGTAAGAGAATTAGCATGTTCGTTCATGTTTTTCGAAATTTTCAAGGCGACAAACCAAAGTTAAGATGAGCAGGTCTTGGTATAACTGGAAATCTACGATTGCTGGGAAAGGGAAATTCTCGAATTTTAATTTATGGAATAATTCGAGACTGACAGACTTAAAACGAGATCACCTACTTCTCATTTTGCAATCTTATTCTTGAATTTGGATGTTTTTTTTAATATTCAAGGACAAAGAAGGTGTCCAAACGTACCAAATTTTTGGTAACTTTTTTCTCCAACGGTTTCAAGCAAACATTCAAAATTAGGTCTTATTTGCTTTGTTCTGATCTATAATTTGGGAAAATCAGGTCTCATTTGCTTTGTTTTGATCTAAATTTCGAAAAGGGGAAATTGGAGCTTAGAGGAAAAAAAGCCCTAGAGCTTTTGGAATGCTACAATCATGCGACAGATCGGGTGCAAAATTAGTACAAGGGAGCGTTTGGAGTAAAGAACGCTTTTTTTTCTGAATTTTTATGCGCCGCTGGTGAACTTCAAAAAATTTTTCCATGCCAAGCGACTAATTTCGAAGCTAATTTTTTTGTGATTTAGGCGCCAGTGGCGAAAATACAAGACGTTATTTCGCACACATAAAAATGATAGGTGGACAAATAATTGGCAACGCATATCCGGAACATTTGCCGGAATGCAAACCCGTCCCAAAGCAGGTGCAACAGCTCCAGGAAATCGACCGTGCATGTCGAGCAAGGATCCAATCGGGCAGTATGACACCGGAAGCTGCCAGGAAATTGGTTAGCTGTATTTTTATGCATTAATTATTGAATACCGTTTAAGAAGAAGACGAATTATGACAGAGTTGCAGTGATTATTTGAGTTGAACTGGTGCCTTGGCGGTCTGGTACTCCGTTGGCTGACCCGGTGCTCCGGAGATAGTTGGCTGGGTCGTCGATCCTTGGCGATAGTTCGGGCTGCTAGATCCGCGTCCTTCGTTTGGGCCGCTTGGATAATGGATAATGGAGAAAAAGATTGGAGTTAAATGTCATGTGCAAAAGAACATTTCATGATGCAGTCTGTGTTTCATCCCCAAGCTGTATACACAGACCGAACAGTACACCACTTGGATAGTACACTATGCCACAACACAACACTCCTTTAACACAGAAACAGCTACCTTATATAGGCAGCTTCACGCCATTATGCATGTCCTACCTAGGAGGGAGTCATGATGCAACATTTGAACAACCGGAAGTTATTTGACCTGAAAAAAGATTGATTTGCACCGGTATTGTTAAAGCAAAGACCAGAAACATACGGTTTTGGCTTTAGAAAATCAGGCATCAACAAAAGGAATTTGATTTTTACTGATTATTGGTCAGTATTTGTGAATTATACTTAGATACCTGTATCGTCTGTTGTAATTGAAAATGTAGATTTCCGGTTGTGCAACTGTCAGCTTTTTCATTTTTTTTGACCAGTATTTCATCAGCAGTTATTCAGCGATTCTTATGTCCGCTTCGTCCTCTGAAGGGATTACCAACTCAGTGGTTCTGACAAAACTGTTTCGCTGGGCTGTTAAAGTCCCGTTAGATCTGTGTGTATGTGTGTGTTTGTGTGTGTGTATGTCTGCATGTGTGTGTATGTGTGTGTATGCGTGTGTGTGTGTGTGTGCGTGTGTGTGTGTGTGTGTGCTGATTTTCACGACCTCGTTTCTGCAGCTACGCAGCTTTTGAAAAAAAGAAATTTTGCGAAATATGAAGATCATAGTTCACCTGGTTCGTTTTTCTCCATTCCAGTACATTCAGAATTATTTTATTAGGGCTATTTCTAAAACTATGCTTTTTGAGGGAGCGGTGGTTGCGCAGAAGAATCGTGAACTGAAGAAGCTGATAAATGATGACGATGCGTTTCCTGATAAATGGAAATCACTTCCAAGAAAATACAGTCGTTTATGTCATCAAGCGGAACGGCTGAAGAAGTACAGAAATAGGCAATTTTTAAGGTCAGTTGAAATGAAAGGTTTGAAATTTTGCAAAATTTTTTGCTAAAAAATTTTTTTAGTTTCCTATAATGGGTTGGAAATCAAGTTATTGCTTCTTTTTCCATTTTGTTATGGAACTAAAGTTGTAAACAAAAAGAATGGTAAAATCAGTCAGTGATATATTTTTTGATTCAAATTTTACTAGCTTTGCATTATTGTAGATCATGTAGGAAATATTTTTTCCTGGTTTGGCATTCCATTACATAAACCTGGGAATTGTGCGGAATTAAAAGTTAGATCCGGTTGAGGATAAGAAGTCAAAAAATTGAGGGAACGTCGCCTCTTTGTCCTAGTTGTTTCTATTATATACGTATATATATTATGTATATATATATATTTGTGTGTTGATTTTTCGAAAATTATGATTTAAATATTAATGATTACGATTCCTTCCTTTTCAGAGGTATATTCTCTTCTATTTGCATGTATTTTTACTTGATTTTTTTTCGCTTTGATCTGTAGCTGCTCGCAAAGGAACAGCAAAAATAATGATTTTCGTAGAGCGTCGAAAACGATTTTGAATAGTTATGCTACGGTGCTCAGAGTAAGATGAATTTTGCAGAGAAAAAATCGTTAAGGGAAAAAAAAATGCAAAGATTTATCCCTCAATTCAGCATAAGCTGTAGCTAAGCTCGCGGACATGTATCAGCATCTTATTGACAACTTTAACAGAGAATCGCTCCAGCAACCTAATTATTCTAATTACTATAATTCTTAATTTTTTTTATTTTCGGACTAATTCTAATTACTGTAATTCGTAGTTTTTAATTTCTTAATTCTTGATTTTTTTTAATTTTTAATTGTTCTTCTGTTTTTTTTTTCAGCCCTATACCTCGTGAAATCGAAGTGATGGGTCAGCGATTCAGGAATCCGCCGCTGATCATATTCGAACCAGGTGGCCAGGCAGCTCGCATTTATCGTATCAATGGCCGCTCAGACCGGCTTGGCATTGTTTACTATCGCTGCTCAAAATGTGATGTGATCTGTCGCAGACGCAAAAAGATGGGAGCAGAAGGTTGCTTCTAGTGGCAAATGTTGTAAATGTGCATGCTACTATAATCTGCATACGGGAACGGGCTTGCTTCGATGAAAAATCCAATATCTTTTAGTATTTATAGCACTATCGTATAGCTTTTGTATGCATTTTTCATGTATGCAAATGCAAAAACGCATATGATGACGACCCATGTGTGTGTGTGTGTGTATGTGTGTGTGTATGTGTGTGTGTGTGTGTGTGTGTGTGTGTGCATTTGTGTGTGTGCATTTGTGTGTTACGTGTGCAGTTGTTCAGGTATTTCAGTTCGGCAACCAAGCAAGCTTCGGCGACGAAATTTCACCAGTGGGTTTCCTTGTCACCTCAGGAACA